GGTTTTGTACGCCTTGTGGGAAGAAAGGTAAAGGTCTTTACCTCCATCGGCGATGTGCTTCTGGCCCTCAAGCAAACAACTAAAATCAGTGCCCGTTTCTGTATTCTTCAGCTACTTCCATCGGAAGAAAAGGCCGGCAAAGTGAATCAGTGGAATCCAGGCAGAATACCAGCCGAAGAGACTGCAGTGTGAGACACACTGGACTCCAGTTTGATGGAATCGCTGTAGATGCCGAACTGGAGTGTGAAGTGCCCACTGAATCCAAACTCGAAGCGCTTTGAACACCATCCCACAAGCTCCCCAGATGCGGTAGCGCAGGCGTAGCACTTGGCGAGAAACTGAGAACTTCAGATCATCCATTCGGCTCTTTCCGCAACCTCTCTGACGCACTCTACGATTCTTGGGACCGTTTCCGAAGCCGCCCGGCCTGGATTGGCCCGTTCCACCTACGACGTACGCAGTACGCTCGCGTGGAATCAGGGTTTGGACCGCATGACATTGGACGATTGAATACGAGAGAAGCCAGATGATTTCGGAGACGACGTTGGGTTCCTCGTTTCGGTCGACGAGTTCGAAGATGCGGAACTGTCATTTTTCCGGACCTCGCCAGGTCTATTACTCTGCCGAGCTGTCCACAGCACCGGCGAACATTCATTTGACAGCGTGAGACCCAGCGAGCGATTGGGGTCTTTCTACTGAAACTCGGTCGGAGACAGTCATGAACTACCAGTTGAAAAGAGGTTCAGGGTCTTTGCCAGACTTAGACATGTCACATCATGTTACATAGAATGAAGCTTAGACATTCTGACTGATTCATGAAAATTCTTGGTGACTGAAACAGACCTTGTTAGCAATTCGTTCTGGGCCGAAGCGGAGCAGTGACATGCACCATGAGGCCTCCACTTTGGTCTCGGTGACTTTAGCCTGGGATCCACCCGTTGACAGTGGCGGTCTCCCCGTCTTGGGCTACAAGGCCGAGTGCATTGCTGCCCTGCCTGATCATTGCCATTCCATGCCATTCATTGTCTTGACATAAGCACTAGGAGCGAGGACGCTTACTAGGGGCTCCTGTCCTTACAAGAAGCTACCAGGAGCAAAAGGCATCGCCACTAGGAGCAAGGACGCTACTAGGGGCAATCATCTTGCATGCATCTCTTGCCGGCTGTTTCATGCTGATTCTATATGCAACGTCCCTAGGACCCGCATGGCATTGTTACAGTATTTTACAGTGCAAGGGGCGGTGTGCAGTTTGGACTGTAACTTCACATGGCATTGGAGGTCTACATGGATGATGCACTTGGAGGGCCATTGGTGGAAGAATACTCCGGCACTGCGTGGGATTCTCAACTTTCTGCAGGTTTCGCCAGCATCTTACTGCGAAACCAAGGACCACCTTCCAGAAAGTGGGCCTTGCCACTGGCTACACCTACCGTTCGGAGGTGGCTACTGCTCGCTCCCCCACTCGTCCCATCACCTGTATCCATCGCCGGATACATCGCCAGGTGAAGGCCTTCACCGCCAAAGGCGAAGGTCTTCCAGCGGCCGGGAGCCCTGAACGCGCAGGGCTCGGAAGGGGATCCAAGCTTAAACACTGGTCACCGTGGTGGTCAAAATCGGGCGGCAATGGTGTGACCATGGAAAGGTTCAAGGTCGATTTTGTTTGGGTTGAACGTTTGCTCGAGTCATGTCAGGCCCAGTCTAGAGATGTTTCTTTCTTCGAAAACAAAGAAAAGCAAAGGAAAGGAAAGAACGGAAGGTCTACGGTAAAGGTCTGGAGAAAGACAGAAGTAAGGTTCCCCAAAAGTCTAGGAAGCCAATCATTAAGCATGGGCCCTTCTGTGTCCAAAGCCTATGAAGCTACTTACTGAAGCTTAGTAGCTACTCCTTACTTGTCAGCTCCTGGTTGTAGCTACTTCGACGGCCTATCCCTCCCTCACCGCCACGTAGAGAAACCAGAAAGTGCCATCAACGGCGCTAAAAGGTTGGAGGCCATCGCTATTAGGTTCCTTAAAGTCCACTTTTCAACGTCAGTGTCCTGGACTTAATGGCTGGCAGGTGATGAGCGTGTCGCCTTGCAACGAACCAGGCGCAGAAGTGGAACTCTGGAATCTCAAAAACACAAACTCTAACTGCGTCCTTGCAACCAGCAATATTTTGCATGCTTACAGTTTACTATCAGTTTCTTGCCATATACCTTTTCATGCCCTCCCTCCAAAGCAAACATCCAATGATTGCAATGATCAAAAACAAATGCGGAATGAATAGGTAAGATGTTGTAAATGGAGGGTGCTCACCCTGCTGATCCCAGAGCATTCCTCAGCTCCAGGAAGTGTCGGAAACCTTCGAGTTTTGCAACGTTCAGGCGTGATATTATGTGATCGAAAGAGTTGACAGCATTTTTGAGCTGCACTGGAACTTTCTTGCGAAGTGGGCAACACCTTGCTTTTAAACAGTGTTCCAAAGCAGCCTTTGTCCACCTCCGTCAGTCACTGGGACGGACACTTTTTCATAAGTACTAGCATCGCCTATCGTAACTTATAATCAACTGCCTTCTTGGATACTGGCCATATACTGGCCATATTTGCTCGTTGGGAGCCTTCAGGTACATTGATTCGCTTGGGTTGGGATCCCCCCACAGACACCGGAGAATGTCCCATCTTGGGCTACATCGTTGCTTGACCGCAGCAGAGTTTTGGGGTGCAGCCTTCGTTTTGTCATGTTTTGTCAATGTGCAGCCTTCGATCATCCTGTTCACAAGCAACATGATGTTGGGCGAGCCTTCTTGTTGCAGGATGTAAACTGGATGTGTTGAGCCCAAATTTGAACCCGTCATGGTAAAGTTTGTTCGCATGAAAGGCCTCCAGCTAGAGGCATTCTGCAAGAACATGCACAGCGGTTTGCTTTGGCGAACTGTCGGGACATGATTTGTGAAGCAATACGCACCTCTCCGAGTGGACTGGAGACAATTCCCTTGGTTCCTCAATCTTTCAATCTGGAGACTTGCAATGGATTTTTTGACGCTTTGCACCCTGACATACCTTGACCACATGGTTGGAGCAAGGTCATGGCGGGCACATCAACCAGTACGTTGGTGAAGGCACATTTGTGGTTGTGGAACGCTTTGAAGCATCAGCGCGGCGATCACTTTCTTTGAGTTTCTTGCACTCAGATCGGGACGACGTCCTCCGTCTTGGAAACCGCTTACAACTACGTGTGGAAACCTTAGCGAATCTGAGCTGTTTCAGCGCAATGCAAAGCACCAAGTATCAACCAGTCCCAGTTCGCTCCAAGCTGGCCATCTGGCCAAGTCCGCTCCAAGTCCGACTTGGTCGAGGCCTGCAAGTCCAGACTTGAGCTTCGTGTTCCGGATCTTGGCCGAGAACTTCAAGACGCAAGTCTCCGTGGTCGCCTTAGTCACAAGTGCCACGCTATAGGAACAAGTGCCACGCTACTAGGAACAGGTGCCTTACTAGTAGTAACAAAGAAGCTATCAGTTAATTTAATGCAGCGGAAGATGCGGCCGTGGCCGGGTCGTCGTCGCGGGGCCGTGGATCCCACAGAAGGGCAAATCGACGCCAGGGCAGCTTCTCTGGTGCTGGAACTGACATCTACGTCATTGGTGCGGCTGCAGTCTTAGCGAAAGATGTGAAACAGGAGATTTCTAGAGTGATCCTGAGGCACTTGAGGGACCCTGACGGTTCCTGTTGCTTTTCTTGTGACTTCTTGCTAACGCTAATGATGAGGCGATTGGCAAGAAAAAGAGCTAAGGTCTAAGGTTGCTTCATCTTAGGATATCGAAGGATAAAAGGTAGCAACACAAAACAACATCTCTAAGACCTGTTAGTCTCCCGTCTTGAGATTCATGTTCTGAGGCAGCACCCGATCCACCCACTGATCTGGTTCGGACGGGTGGCTCTTCAGGCAGTATCTCGCTGTCAGGAGCTCACTTCGGTGACAAGATGACAATGAGATGACATAGGAATGGCCTCCACCCTACTAGCAATGGCCTCCAACCTATGAGCGCTCTCGTTAAAGTCTATTTGTGTTGATGAAGGAGACAGGTTTGTCCCGACACACAGCGCACTTGTGGTTTGCCTCACAAAAGGTCATGGACTGCACCTACGAATGATGGTGGGTCACCAATCACCAAGTACTACGTCCAGAGGAATGACGGGCCGGGAACTCAACTCGGAAAGATGACACAAGATGACAATGAGATGACACAAGAGTTAATAGGAATGGCCACCAACCCTAATAGCGATGGCCTCCAACCCTAATAGCGATGGTCTCCAGCCTCCAGCCTAAGATAAGTAGCACTTGAAGTTGTGGCATGTGACTGGACAGTTGTGAGAGCCAAGCTTTGCTGCACGTCCTCGAAGCTTCAGAGCCATCCCTCCCATCGAACAAAAAAACACGTTTTAGGGGCTCGACCGTGATGAGGTTTATTTCAATATGTCTGGCGCAAAAGACACTGGCAATTTGTCAGGGAGTGAAAGTCTACCAGGCTTAGTGAAAGCCATCAGTTCTTGAAGCCTCAAAGAAACGTCATCTGAAACACCCTGAGCCTTTTTGTGTTCCGGAACTGGGCTTCTGGACATCACAGGGCTCGACGCGGGAATGTAGCATCCTTCCTACTGCTCGTGCTATGGGATGCTTCTGCCAATGCCCAAGATTTCATTGTGGTGTTTGGATGCCACTCGACCGCTTGAGCTGTGTTTTTGTGCTAAAGGTTCTAATTATAGTGATGGCCTCCAACCTAATAGCGATGGCCGAAAGAATAGATCCTCATTCTGATTTTTTTCCCCTTTGGCCGAGAGGTGGCCGTGAGGTGGCCAGACAAAGAAACACATTTTTTGTCAAAGATGAAGCAAGATCCGGTCTGCCTCGAATAGAGCCAGTGTCGTGGCTCACCTCAAGCTTTACAAGTCTTTGTTGGAGTCTGGTTTTTGGTCCTGAGGATCTTCTTCCTGAACTTCTTTGCTTCCTTCGCCTACCATGTGATGGCAGTGCTCTTGGTGATCTATGCCACTGATGAATTTGGATTCAGTGACCAGCAAGCTGGTGCTCTATATGGATGGTGGGGTATCCTCTCATCTATTTGGACCAGTATTGCCAGCATTTTTGCCATTGAAGCTTTGGCAACAGAGCTGGTCAAGTCTAGATTTCAATGCCAGAGCCGGTCAGAATTGATTTCTTTATCCCCCCTTTTTCAGGTGAAACCCCTGTCTTCCAAGTCCGGTTCTGTTCCATCGAGACGGGGCATTCCGTGGACTGAGACAATCGTGACCCCCATTCTCTTAGACCAATTTCTTCGGCTCAACGACCCTCCTCAACGACCTCATTGGATGTTTTTCGTCAAACTCAAAGGACCTCGAGTCACTAGGACGCTACGATTTCTGGGCTCCTGGCCTTACTACTAGGACAACTTGGGCTCCAAGCGCACAGCGGTCTTTGCCATCGTGGCCATGATCAGCACCCGCGGTGTCCTCGTGACCGCGCGAAATCCCGAGACCTTTCGCTTCTCGATCCTGGTGCTGTCGCCCATGGCTGAAGGCTTGCTGCTCCCCGTTCCTCAGAAAGAACCGGTCCCTTTTTTCGGAGTACTGCGATGCATTTTTTGGGTTTTGAACAGATCTTCAGCAGTTTTGGTTTGCTCCAGAAATAAACGCTAAGATTCAATGATTCACCAAGATGGTTCATTTGGATGGCTGGTTCGATGATCCTTTTCCTTCATGGCGAGGTTTTCCTTGTTGGCTTGAAGAGGCTGACCGTGAAGGAGGAGAGGCCTATGGCGTTCAGTGTGAACTATGCCTTACACAATGCAGGCCATCAGCTGCTGAAGGGAAACAAGATTCATCTCAGATTCCTGTCAATTTGAACGTTTTTGTACATCCAATGTGTTCCTAACTAGGGATGATTGAAAATATAGTGAACCACTTATTATTACAGTAGACCTACAAGTTTGACATAGCATGAGAGGTGAAACTTGGCCGCAACACTCCGGTCTCAAGTCAAGAGGGGATGGGCCTAGGACTGATTCGAACGCCATATATCGTTGCCCTCACTCTTTTGAACCTGGGCGCCCTAGGAGGCTGGGGACTAAGCTGGTGGCAACAGAGACAGATTAGCCTGCAGCTAGAGGAGTTGCACCAAATCATCCAAGCCCATCGTGAGCAGGTGTCGGGTGGTGGAGGTGACCCTCATTTCCCTACAGGAGTGCCAGTTGAGCAGAAGGAGGCCAGGCCACCAAATTCTCCGGAGGTTGGCTGGTTCTCTGTACGAGTTTCACAATTTCTTGGGCCTGTGAGTTTATTTGCATTGACCTTGGGTCTGGTGTTGGCAGTGTTGTTGGCATTGGGCTGGGCCATAGCTGGGCTCACAAGAGTACCATCGGGAGTGTCGGAGGGTTCGATTGAGATCTCACAGAAACAGCTGGCACATCGACAATTGGCGGAACTCAGGCTTCGGCGGCATGGCTTTGCAGAACCGTCAGGTTCTCGTCGAGTATGATGTAGGAGGCCCTCGGCTTTGGCACGAACGCCAAGTGCTCGAGCATGTCAAGGACGACCTCTACATAGTCCTGACCCCGGACGGTGATGTCTATGCAGAAGAACTTGGACTCCTCAACTCAGATTTACGGGGAGTCCGAGTTCGCCCTGGGCCAGGCATTGATCCTCCTGGAGTGGTTGCAGCAGAGATATATCCTCTTCCTTTGTTCAGTGCCAATGCCATGGCTGGATACAGGGAGGAGGGACGTCGAGCAGCGGAGAACGAACGCAGAGGAGGAGGTGGAGATGGTGGGCCGGGGTTGGTGGCCCCTGCACCCCCTGCAGCGGGGGCACCGGTGGGCCCAGTGACAACAGCGGATCACCCTGCAGGGACCCTTAAGTGGTTAGCTGTGGAGTGCGTTGGCAGCATTGTTTTTGGGCAGGAGGTGCCTCATGTTGTGGGTGCACGCAGTCGGGGGGCAAAGCAGGTGCATACAGTGGACGGCCGTTCGGTTTTTGTGGAGTGTGTGGACGGGGCCGACCTTGTCAAATTCTGGCAGAGGCCTTCGGAGTGTGACAACAGAATCTTGCCAGTGGTTTTCAATGCATTGGGAAGTCCAGAGAGCACCCTGAAGGATGTGGCAGTGGCCTGCCGAGAGAAGGATGTGAAGTGGACGTTGAGCGGTCCCAGGACCGCCAAGTGGTGCGTCAACTACTTGGCAGTTGAGGGTCTGGGTTTTGAAGGGCATCATGAACGGCTTCGACAAGTCACCAAAACTGATGGTTCCTCGTGGGCTATACAGGAGCATTTCCAGATATCCATGTTCCTGCGGCAGGCACTCTTGGTTGACCAGCTTGATGCTTTCAATTTGTTGAGCATTGAAGTACAGTTTCGACGATTGCAAACGATCGAGTTTTCCTACGCTGAGAAGGCACGGGAGATGGAAAGCAAGAGTGTGGGTGGCCGCTTGTCGCTGGAGGAGCAAACTACATTTGGTGGCTTGACAAGACAATTTGCAACCCTTATGATTTGCCCTGACCTCTTGGAGCACGTTAAGAGCGAAACAGAACGGGAGGCTCAACTTTCAAAGAATTTGAGGAAGGCCCGGGAGGAGAGGGAGGCCGCTCGGAAGGGTGGCAAGAAGGACAAGAATCAGGCGGACCCTTGAGGTCCCGGGTGTGGCCGGGAGAAGGTCCCGCACCGGCCGCGATACCCATGGGACCAGCAGATCAGCAGAGGATCCCCAGGGACATTTTTCCCTTGCCTTCGGTACAGTTTTCTGGCCGGCCTGATGTTAGGCTCTCACGGGGCTGTCAGCAGAGGTTGGGCAGGAGGAGGCATTTTGAGGAGGAGGTGCAGCACACGTTGGATGCACTGAATCGAACGTTTGAAGGTACTCTCAAGACTAGTTTTGGGGCCACAAGCAAAGCAGGTGGTATACTCAGTGCTGGTCAGAGGCAAGTTTTTGAATTTATTGAGCATGCAATCAGTGGTGTTGGCTCTCCGGTTGATATCACTGGCCCAGAAGCCCTTGAGGCGCTTCGGGTTTCGGAGGGGTATGAGGGTTTGCCAACCTCTTCACCCCTTGGTTCCTACAATCCTGACCTGGTCTCATTGCCCTCGGGTGAGATGAATCCCGTCTCATTGGAGTCACTCTGGGGTCCAGGCGGGCGAGAAGCAGTGCAGGAATTTGTCAGCGCTCGAGTTCTAGGTCCGTCAGAGGCTCAGGCCACGTTGATCGAGAGCGGAGTGCGGCGGGTCTACCAAGATCCTCAGTTCAACAGTTCCAAGACTTTTGCAGGTTTCGTGATGAGGCTGCATGGGTTGGGCCTGGTTGAATTCAGTGCAGAGCCTGCAGTTGAGGAGGTGGGTTTGTTTTTCGTGAAGAAGAAGCAGAACCGTCTTCGCATGATCATGGACTGCAGGAGGTCGAATTCGTGGTTTACTGAACCCAAGAAGGTGCACCTTGCAAGTGGGGAGGCCCTTGGCAGGATTCAAGTGTCTGAGGGTGAGGAACTCCATGTTTGTTCAGCGGACCTGGCGAATGCTTTTTACACCCTGGAACTTCCTTCTCAGCTGCGCAAGTTCTTTGGCCTCAGGCGCCTGCATGCAGAGTATGTTGGTGAGGAGATCAGGCGGCAGCTCGGGTTGCGGAAAGGAGATTGGGTGTATCCTCGAGTGAAGGTGGTGCCAATGGGATGGGCTTGGGCTCTCTATTGGTGTCAGACAGTGAATGAGCGCATATGTGAGAGGAGCGGCTTGAACAAGGAGACACGGCTTCACGACAACTGTGCTACCCCTTAAGGTAGTTTTTGGCATATACAGTATGTTGATAACCTACATGTGGTTGGCACTGACAAAGCAGAGGTTGAGAGTTGTTTCTGGAAAGCTGTTGGCGGCCTCCGTGCCGCGGGTCTCACAGTGCACGAGATTGAGGTCGACGAGGCTTCAACACAGTTGCTGGGATGGGAGTTGAACAAAGCAGCGGAGTTGAGACCCACTCACAGGAGGCTCTGGCGAGTTCGGCTGGCTGTGAGAGAAGTGTGCAAGAGGGGCCGCGCCAGTGGACAACAACTGGAGAGGCTGATTGGGCACATTACTTTCATTTCCCTTTGTCGACGAGAGAGCCTCTCATGCCTTGGTGAAGTCTACACCTTCATTCAGCGGCACTATGGTACAGTCGTCCCTTTGTGGAAAAGTGTGCGATCTGAGTTGCTGAAGTGGGATGGACTGGCCCCCCTCATTTACAGTCAACTGACCTTGCCCTGGAGCCGTCAGGTGTACGCTGTTGATGCTTCAGAATGGGGTTTGGGGGTGGTTCAGAGTCAGATGAGTACATCAGAGGTGCAAGAGTTGGGTTCACAGGTCGAGCGTTGGAGGTTCAAGGATGAGGCTGCAAAGGACCCCCGACTGTTTGTGCAAGTTGAGGATGAGAGGACAGGTTTTGGGCATCAACTTCAGCTGGATTCCACTGACGGTGCCATGCCCCGGTCCTTCAAGTCGGTTGGTTTCTCAGCTGTTGATCGGAGCTGGCAGGTTGTTGGGCGGCATGCGTGGAGGAGGCCGGACTCAATGCCTGTGTACGAGGCGAGGGCCACTCTGCATGCGCTTCGACATCATGTGCGTTCAGTTGAGCAGTTTTCACAGCAGTTGGTTATTTTGACAGACTCATTGGTTGCTGCAGTTTCTTTTGATAGGGGACGTGCTAGTAGCTTCAAGTTGCGTAGGGTTTTGCAACAGGTGGCATGTTTGACTCTTGGAACTCGTGTCCGGGTCCGTGCCGCCTCTCCGGAAAGTGGGCAAGTCGTTCAACAAGTTTGCTGTCCTCCTACACCCATTGGAGGAGGGGATCCCATCAAAGACCTTGCAGTGGGACGAGATGCTGTCACTGGACTTGCCCCATCAGGCATTCTTGGGGCCAACCATGGTGCGGCTTCTGGGCTTGCAGAGTCGGGAGAGGGACTCCCTCATGTTCACAGTCAGTTTGGAAGAGGTCACAGACTTTGTGGTGGAGCAATGGAAGGTGTTGGGGTTCAAGAGCATGGGCCCGCCTCACATGTACCGTCTCCGGCACGGAGGGGCCTCTTTCGATGCCGTGGAGGGACACCGCACCTTGGAACAGATTCAGACCCGCGGCCGGTGGTTGACATTGAAGTCAGTCAGAAACTACGAGAAAGGCAGTCGGTTGCAGCAGTTATTCGGAGGCCTCCCCAAAAGTGTCCAGAAAAAACGCTGTGGCCGCCAGAAAGAACATCGTCAGAACATTTGCGGGCCTGCGCTAGGCCTGCGGCATCACAACAGCGTGCCGGCCTCATTGAAGGAGTCTGTGTTCATTGAGATTTTTTCTGGGACTGGTAGGTTGGGACGCACAGTCAGTCGATGTTGTGGGTGGCCGGTGCTTTTGTGGGACATTGAATATGGTGAGCAGTATGATTTGACCAAGCGTTGCAACCAACAAAAGATTTTCAATTGGGTCCACAGCGGTGTCATTCGTGCAGGGCATTTGTGTACTCCATGCAACTCCTTTTCCCGAGCACGAGATCAGCCTGGTGGACCTCCTCCCCTCAGGTCTGACAAACATGTGTTGGGCCTTAGCAATTTACGGCCACATGATCAACTCAAGGTGCGCGTCGGCAATTCCTTGATGTACTTCAGTTGCCGGCTGCTGCACAAGTGTCGGGTGTTGCGCATACCGTTCACCCTGGAAAACCCACAGCGTTCCAGGTTGTGGCTTTGCCCGTCGGTAAAGCGGTTGTTCAAATGCCCTCAGGTTGCCTTTGTAGATGTGACCTTTTGTGCTTGTGGAACTCGTTGGAAGAAACCGACACGCTTTCTGACTGTTTGCCTCGACCTCAGTCACTTGATGCAGTATCAATGCCGGGGCTCCAAACGGGGTGTTTGTGCACATTCCGGCATGTCGCACCTTCCGCTATGTGGCTTACACCCTTCAGGTGTTTTCATGACCAAGTATGCTGAACCGTATCCTTGGAAGCTCACCCGGCTGTTGGCTCAGGCTTTTGGAGCAGTCGAATTGGCTACCATAGCTGACAATTTTTCCCGACACCTGTAATTTGTTTTGGCGGCTTCACCAGTGGGCACAAAGCAAGCTTGGGCAAAGTTGGGAAGTTGTGATGTTTGGCTCTCGCTTGAGCTGAAGGGCGGTG